TAGTCCCCTTGTATTTAGAAATCTTATGGACTACTCATTCATTCATGTATTACTGCATTATCAGGTACTCCCTTCATTATTTTTACTTAAAAACGGGGGAAAAAAAAAGAATCACAGTAGGTTATTGTGTCACAGAATGTTCAAGAGTTGATGTCAATTAAACATATTTTGGGAACTAAGAACTATGGATGAATTTAATGAGAGGGAATGGACTAGTCCCTCTAATTGAATTGTCCCCTTTTGTTGACTTATGGAACTTTGATTCATCCTACAAAACACAGTTCAAGTGTTGATTCTTCATAAAGTCTTTCTAGATCCTCTCTTAGCGTTACTGTATTTCCTCTGTATTATTCTGTGCTTTGGTCATATTTCTATTGATTTGTGTAAAATTTACGTGTTTTATTTCCCACAGCACAGAGATTTTGAAGCCAGAGAATCACACCGCATTCACATTTGTGCTGGACTACCTAGCTGGGTCGGTACCTATAGGTGCTCAATTGTCTGTTTATTTTGATTGAAATAGTGTGAAAAATACAATTGAACAAAGCAATATATTTTAAGTTTAAGACATAGAAGTACTTTTTTTTGGGGGGGGGGGTTTGCTATAGGGCACGTGCGCTCGCCAGACAGACAGAGGGAGACAGAGAGACAGAAACTGAGAAATCTCCTCCCAGGGTTGGATGGCCACACTGCAATCCCTTCTCCTCCATTCTCCTCTCGGGATCTTGGGTGGGCACGCATGCACACGTGCCCTGGCATGAGTTTTTTTTTTTAATAATTTTTATTTTATTTTATTTACGCATTCATTTATTTTTTAGTTTGATGAGAGAGACAAAGGGCGAGAATGAGAGAGAGAAGAAATTGGAAAGCAAGCCACCAGATTCAGGACTCAAACCCTGGTCAGCCATGTGGGAGTGTCCAGCGCCTTAACCACCATGCCACCTGCTGGTCCCCGCCCAGCATGAGTTTTAAGCCACTGGGTCCGGGATGCAAACCGCGGTTGACTACGTGGGAATCCAGCGACATAACCATTACGTTAACTGCTGGTCCCCCGACATAGAAGTACTTTTAAAAACGGATCAAATATTATGTACTTGAAGGGAGTAGGTTTACCTATTTGGCTTATAAACATTGTCCAAGAAGAATTCTTAATAGACTGTTTATTCTCATACAAAGTACCCTTCAGTTTTCTATTTATTTGTTTCAGTGGTTGTTATTGTTGTTAGAGGAACATGCACATGCCAGAGAGAGAGTGAGAAAACACCCCCTACGCAGTCGTACGGAAATCTCTTCTCCTCGGTTTCTCCTTTGGGGAGCTTTGGGTATGCACGCACATGTGTCTGGCATGTTTTCAAGCTGCAGCATCTGGGATTTAAACCACGCAGTCGGCCGTGTAGGATTCAGCCACCTTAACCACCAACATGCTATGGGCTGGCCCTGCTTCAGTCCTCGGTAAGTACAATCCTGTCTGTTCTTCATGTCCTATAAAGTACAATTCTTTCCAATACCGTTTTTCTAACAGATCTAGCCAACACTAATCTCTTCCCTTCTCTTTTCTCTCACTACTTATTTTATGTGTTTGACATTTGGTTAAATTTGAATAAGCTATGATTATATATTTATATTTAAGTATTTGTAAATGTTTGCAGTTACTTCTCATCTCAGTTTGTTAAGGGCAAGATCCAATGAGACAATATGGGGGGGGGGTGGCGTCAAGGAAGTAATTTCTCTGCAGTGCTGGTTAAAAAGGGACGAAAGTTGAGTGCTGAACAAGTACTTGCTAGGTGGATAAAAGGAGTAGAGCTAGTGAGACGATTTTAAAAAAATCAGACACTGGGACCAGCAGGTAGGCTAATGGTTATGTCCCTGTTCTCCCATGTAGTCAACCACAGAGTGAGTATTAAGCTGCTTGGACCTGGGACTCAAACCCTAGACGACTATGTAGGAGGACGACTACATTGAAGTCCAGCGACGTAACCGTTCCACCATCTGCTGGTCCTGCAAAAACCACTCTTAAAAAAACAAACAAACAAAAAACAGTAAAACAACAACAAAAAACTCACACCAGGCATGTGTGTGTACATGCCCAAAATCCCAAGAGGAGAGAGAATGGAGAGGAAGGGATTGGCCATCCCCCATGGGGATGATCTCTCACTTTCTGTCTCTCTGACTCTGTCTTTCTGGGGAGTGCACACACCCTATAGCAAAAATCTCTCTAACAAGAAACAAAACAAAAACCCAAACTCTGTTTCTAAGAAATATTAGGCCACTTGTTATAATAAAAAGGCAAAACATTAGATGAACCTGACTTTGTTAGACCACTGTATGAAAAATAGTCCTACAATCAAAAACGGTAATAAAGGACCTAAAAACAGGACACTTTCTATTCTGCCTTGCTGACTCCAGTAACATAGAAATTCCTTATTAAATCTGTCAATAAATTAGTTTGGAGGTCTGCAGGTGGCGTTGTGGTTAGAGCAGTTAGATTCCCACTTGTCCAGCCCAGCCTGATTCGAGTTCTGGACCCACTGTCTTGAAAATGATGCTGGGGGTGTATGCTCAAGTGCCCAAAATCCTGTGAGGAGAATGAACGAGAAGGGTGTAGCCATCCCCACTGAGAGTGAGGGGGTGTGATTTCTCACTTTCCTTCTCTCTATCTCTCTCTCTCTCTCTTCTCCGGTGAGTGTACCCACGCTATGGCAAAAGCTTAAAAATAAATAAATAAATGCAAATTTAACAGTCCCAAGAAAACTTACAAAGCCAATTAACTCTCCCATTATCAGCTAGAGTTGCAAATAGATAACACTAATAGTAAATGTTTATTGAGCACTTTCTAGCTGCCAGGTGCTGTGTACTACTCAATTGATGATTTTTTTTTACTTTATTAAAATACTGAGTTTATTTCACGTGTATATTTTTGTCTCCCCACCATTTCCATGTCTGACCACCATTACTACTGTGTCCTATCATAACATTCTTAAAACCAAGCAAAGGGTGGAGTTCCATCTTTAAAAACTAAACAGGCATGGCCAGACGGCCCGGGGCTCCCGACCTGGCACACAGCAGCCGCGCCCGCCAGACGGCCCCGGGGCTCCTGCCCCCGGCAGCCGCGGCCACAAACC